ACGACCTTAACGACACAGGATATCTCATACTGGCTGAGCTGACGTCTCACAAGACTGTGCCATGAGAAAAGACCCAAGCTATGCCACTTCTACATGCGCCCTCCACCAGGTCTGAATCCACGGACAGAGAAGGTGGGGGCAAACAGACGAGTCCTTCCTAGGGCTCCTAAGACAAGCAGGCCCCATGGTTAGGAGCGAATTTCTTCTCTCCCTGCCAGTGTCAGTGGCTCTGACTCTTCTAGTCTAAAGGGTAGGAGGTGTTTATTATACAAAACTTTGTTATATAAAAGGTATGCGGTGTTTATTCTTAGTGTCTATTTCTCAACTCCCTGTCTTGAAACCAAGCAAGTTTGCAATTCCACCAAGAATAAATGAGACAGGGCGTGCTTCCCTGCATTCTGTCGAACCCAAAAATTCACAAACGAGGAAGAGAGGTTCTAGGTCATGATTTCAGCGATGGCTTTCCTGTGGGTCATGGAGTCACATGTTCTCCAGGTTGCTGGCATTTTGATTTTTAATGAATTGATTCTGCATATATTTTGGTCATTTTTCATTGTATTATTGGTCTTTTTATTATTGAATTGTATATTTCCTGGTTTGTCCCTTTTCCTTGAGGCATGACACATGAAGATACTCATCAAATTATGAATGTTTACTTCTCCCCTCTCAGGCATGCTGAGAGGCGTTTCCCACCTGACAGCACACGAGAACCTTCCAGCTTCTTCTGGGGCTTGTGAGTGCTTGGTTTTTACCCTCAAATCTTTGATCTAGAAAGAATTTATTATGGTATAAGTTGTGAGATGAGGATCATGCTTAATTTTTTATTAGAAGTACAACCATGTGTCTTAGAAAAATTGTAGAGGTTCTATCATTGGGAGCTTGTCCCTGAGTCTGAAACCCACGTAGGAGCTGTTCAGGACTGCGGCCCTCTTTGTCCTCCTGTTGCCGACATTCTTGTCATTCACATACTCGAGCTGTGATGTAGAGTGAAGCTGAAGTTAAAGCTATTTATTTTGCTATTTGTTCATTCTTACAAATTATTTAGTTGGGTGAAATTGTTTTTACATTTTAGTCAAAAAATAAAAATGATCGCAAAGGGGCGCCTGGGTGGTCAGTCGGTCAAGCCTCTGCCTCTTGGGTCCTGGTCTCAGGGCCCTGGGATCGAGCCCCACGTTGGCTCCGTGCTCAGAGCAGAGTCTGCTGGGGATTCTCCCCCATGCCCCTCCCTGCCCCCCACTCTCGCTCTCGCCGTCTCTAAAGCAATACAGTGAAAACAAAAACTCTAGCTACGACTTCCTACTGCAAGGATCTCTGCTCCTTGAAGAAACGTTGGTCCAACTCCTGGGGAAGGAAGCGGGTGAGATGGATGCTGTGCGTTTTACCGGAAGAACGGCCACGAAGACTGAGGGTGTGTCCCTGAGTGCTTCAGCACTGCCGGTGACCAGAGGGGGGCGACACTGAGCCCCATGAAGTGTGAGATGGACCGGCTGCGCTCCTTCTCAGGGTGGGTCGAGTGGAGGGACAAGAACTTGTCCTAGGACCTGTGACAATCATGTGGGAGGACAGCACAGACAGTGTTGACAGGAGTCAGGCAGGGAGCTTGTGTGCGTGATCCCATTTATCTAAACGTGGGAAGAGGTGACCTCTGTTGCCCTCCTGGGACCCTCATTCAGGCATTTGTAGGGAGACGGGAGCAGGGAGGGGTGCTCGCCCTGCATCTCACCGCTGGTCCTAGAACCTCTTTGGTGTGTAAAGCTCATCAAGCTGGAAACTCACGACCTCTACACCGTTCCTTAAGTTGTTCTCACTTATTAGAAGTTTCTTGAAAAGAGCATAACACACAACAGAAGTGGCTTCCCCTGAGAAAGAGCGGGAGGATTTCGGCATCAAGAGTGACAACGACATCGAGGGAATGGAACACGTCCACTGTATGAAGCTCATGAATTATTAATGATTCTCAACAAATACAATCAAAGGAATCCACAACTGCTCTTGAGAAATGCGAGAGAAACGACCCGCAACGCTGGAAACGGATGGACAGGGAAAGAATAAGGCACTTGTACCGCCTTTCGTACAGAAACTATGCCTCCCAGCAACCAGATAACTGATAAAGGGCGGTTGTCCTTATAGATGTATTCTAGCTAATAAGGAAGAAAGCACGGTGATACTAAAACATTGCAAATGTCCTCCCCATCATGACTCACTGGACCTCGGTGTGATGATCAACCCTGGTTCGCGGGAAGAGAGACGGAGGGTGCACGAGGTCCTGTGAGTTTCCCGATGGCAGTGTACCTACCGACAAAAACATGCGGTGTGGACTTGGCCAAGCATCTTAACCTGTCAATTTACGAGAACAGATGAAAACACTTAAAAATACAAACATCAGGAATGCAGTCTATGCCCGTTCGTAGGACTTCTACAAAACAAATGGTGAGTTTCTTGAACAAACACACTATAAGGGAAAAAAGAAATGAAGGAAGAACGTATCTAGACTAGAAGACTCTCAAGAGACACATTCGCCAATAATAATTTGTGGAATTTGTTTACATTCTCTATCAAATACACCAGGTGTTTAAAAATGTACTTTAAATGCATTTGAACAACTACAGAATTGTAAAAAGTGACTGGATGGAGATCGGATGATTTTAAGAGGTCACTGTTGGCTCATTTCAAGTTTGACACTATGCCGTTGGTATGTTTTAAAAACATGTGTCTGTCTTTTAGAAAACATGAAACTATTTCGAGCTATGTGCAAAAGATGCCATAGCAACGTGAGCACAATTGTTTAAAGAACATGTAGAAAGATTTCACTGAAGCCTCATTTGTTACAGTGAAAAGCAGGAAACAATAAAAATACCCAAATAGCAAGAAATGGACAATCCATTCATGTGGTAACAGAAGACCGGCTCCAGAGGGAGCTGGGCAAGGGGCTGGAAAATGCTGGGGAGGTCACTTGTGATGTAGGGTTAAAAACGCTCCTATATTCTCCTCCATGTATGTGTTTGCATTTCCATGATAATATATTACATTAAAATGTAAGAATAAAACAAAATATTGTGTACAGACAACAGAGGAATATGAGCTTCAAACCCTCATGCAAAAAAAAAAAAAAAAAAAGAAAAAAAGAAAAAAAGAAAAAAGAAAGAAAGAAAGAAAAAATCCAAAAAGGCCACTTTAACCAGAAAGCTTACCACAGCCTAAGTGAGTACAGAGCCCAAAAGCAAATAAGATGTTGCTGAATTTAATTAGGTTTTCTATTAAAAATCATAATACACAGGGACGCCTGGGTGGCTTAGTCAGTGAAGTGTCTGTCTTCAGCTCAGGTCATGATCCTGGGGTCCTGGAATCAAGCCAGCATCAGGCTCTCTGCTCAGTGGGGAGCCTGCTTCTCCTTCTCTCTCAGTTTCTCCCCCTGCTTATGCTCTCCCTCTCTTTCTCTCTCTCTCTTTCTGACAAAAAAATAAAATCTTTAAAAAGATCATTATACATATATAAATCTTAAATAGAATATTGGCAAATCATACCTACAAACCTGTACACAAGCCATAGATCCATCTTACATAAGGAACATTTACCCCATGAATACAGAACTTACACAAAGGAAGAATGACCCTAGGATTCATTACCTTAACAAACTGAAGGGGTTAAAGATAAAAATACCCCAATGGAATCAAAACAAAAGGACAGAGCATGCATTTGATCCAAATTCAATTAATTAATCATAAAAAAACATATAAAAACAAACAGTAATGGAACAGGACTTCCCGAATCTGAGGGGGGTTTTTTGAAATACCTACCGAAACCCTGTGTCAACCTTTAATAATGAAATATTGTGGCCATTTTAGTCAACAGTAAATAGTCATAACTTTTTAGATAGTGCTGGTGTGTTAGCCAATGAAATGAGGCAAAATAGTAAGTAGGAGGAAGGGAGACAATAGTCATTGTTTGTGAGCACAATGGTTTCTACTTAGAAACTTCAAGTTTTAAATGCATCATAGAAATAGTATGGCTAAGTTTTAGTTTGAGAAGTTACTTGTAACAACTGTAATTTAACTTAGTATCAGGATTACAAAAACTTTTGCAAACTAATGAAAAAAGATATAAAAAGATAAAGAGATCAATAGAAGAAAAATGGAGAAATACTGAAAACAGATAATTCATACAGGAGAAGAAAACCAATAGTGAATGAGTTTCTGAAAAAATATCAACATTAATTAGGATATTAATATTAACATTAATTAGGATAAAATACGTCAAAGACATAATGTTGTAAGCAATCCTTCTGTAAAAATTAATAAATCCAAACATGGAATTGTGAAGGCTGGGAAGGAAGAACTCTTATGAATGATGTTGGAGCATTAGTGGGCGTGGCCGGTTGGAAGAGCCATCTCACAGCAGCCCTGACGGCTTCAGTGTGCGTCCCCTTCACATGGCTGTTCTGGCTCTGGGGGACACCACAGGACAACGCCAGCAAGCCCCATCGGGGGATGTTCACACAGCACTGCTGAGTAGCGCCGAACTCTGTAAAAAAACAAATATCCCAGTGGAAGAACTGCAAAGCACACCAGTGGGGCACAAGAAATCTGACCCAAAATCTGAGCGAGGAAACTCTGGGATGAAGGCGATATCCCACAGCTAGACTGGGGTGTATGCAAGGTCATGTCCATTTGTAGACATTCATCAGAGGTTAAGTACAGCATTTTTCAATTCAGAAATTTGTGACAAGGGGCTTCCTACAGTCCCGCATCAAAGCCAGTTAAATTCACAGGAGCCCTATTCCTGCAGGTCAGTGTGGCACTGAGAAGTAATAAAGGAAGAGGTGCTGGAGGTGAGGGAGGAGGTGGAGGTGGTGAGGGAGGAGATGCTGCCAGAGGAGATGCTGCTGGAGGAGGTGCTGCTGGAGGAGGTGCTGCTGGAGGAGGTGCTGATGGAGGAGATGCTGTTGAAGGCGGTGCTGATGGAGCAGGTGCTGAGGGAGGAGGTGCTGATTGAGCAGGTGCTGAGGGAGGAGTTGATGATGAGGAGGTGCTGCTGGAGGAGGTGCTGCTGGTGGAGGTGCTGATGGAGGAGATGCTGATGGAGGAGATGCTGTTGAAGGTGGTGCTGATGGAGGAGGTGCTGATGGAGGAGGTGATGATGGAGCAGGTGCTGAGGGAGGAGGTGCTGATGGAGAAGATGCTGATGGAGGAGTTGATGATGAGAAGGTGCTGATGGAGGAGATGCTGATGGAGCAGGTGCTGAGGGAGGAGGTGCTGATGGAGGAGGTGCTGATGGAGGTGACATTGGAGGAGGTGATGATGGAGGAGATGCTGATGGAGGAGCTGATGATGAGGAGGTGCTGCTGGAGGAGGTGCTGCTGGAGGAGGTGCTGATGGAGGAGATGCTGATGGAGGAGGTGCTGATGGAGGTGACATTGGAGGAGGTGCTGATGGAGGAGATGCTGATGGAGGAGTTGATGATGAGGAGGTGCTGCTGGAGGAGGTGCTGCTGGAGGAGATGCTGTTGAAGGCGGTGCTGATGGAGCAGGTGCTGAGGGAGGAGGTACTGATGGAGGAGATGCTGATGGAGCAGGTGCTGAGGGAGGAGGTGCTGATGGAGGAGGTGTTGATGGAGGAGATGCTGATGGAGCAGGTGCTGAGGGAGGAGGTGCTGATGGAGCAGGTGCTGAGGGAGGAGGTGACATTGGAGGAGGTGCTGATGGAGGAGGTGATGATGGAGGTGAGGGAGGAGGTGCTGATGCAGGACATGGTGAAGCAGGACATGCTGACAGAAGAGGTGAGGGACGAGGTGGAGCAGGAGGTCTCCTGCAGGTTGTGGGTGTTGTCCTTACTGTTACACATGATGGGCTCTGAGGTCCAGGACTTCTGCTTATGGAGGAGATGCTGCTGAAAGAGGTGCTGATGGAGGAGACGCTGATGGAGGAGATGCTGCTGGAGAGGTGCTGATTAGGAGGGGTTGATGGAGGAGATGCTGCTGGAGGAGATGATGATGGAGGAGGTGCTGCTGAAGGATGTGCTGCTGGAGGAGTTGCTGCTGGAGGAGATGCTGCTGGAGGAGGTGCTGTTGGAGGAGATGCTGCTGGAGGTGAGGGAGGAGATGCTGCTGGAGGAGATGCTGCTGGAGGAGGTGCTGATGGAGGAGATGCTGATGGAGGAGGTGATGATGAGGAGGTGCTGATGGAGGAGGTGCTGATGGAGCAGGTGCTGAGGGAGGAGGGCTGATGGCGGAGGTGCTGATGGAGGAGGTGATGATGGAGGTGAGGGAGGAGGTGCTGATGCAGGACATGGTGAAGCAGGACATGCTGACAGAAGAGGTGAGGGACGAGGTGGAGCAGGAGGTCTCCTGCTGGTTGTGGGTGTTGTCCTTACTGTTACACATGATGGGCTCTGAGGTCCGGGACTTCTGCTGCAACTGTCTGCCCAGCATGGAAACTACAAGTGCCAGGGGGCACTGGTGATGCCCACCTTGGTGGGTGGGAAAGAATGCACGCTGGCCACAAGGGCTGAGCAGTGGTGCACAGGGCACCTTTTGCCCTGTGCTGGGATGTCAGCCTGCCCTGCTCCATCAGCCTCCCGCACTGCAGGTGTCCGGGGCCTGAGGAGGTGCGGCCGTACTTTCCTGAGAGCGACAGACGGCCTCCAGCACAGTGATGCCGGAATATCTTTCTCAATAAAAAGGTATTGTAAACACAGTACTTGGGTCTTTATAACTAAGTGTTCCATTTACTGTCTTCTGTGCTGTTTGTCATTTGTCCCATCCTCTGCTGCCAGGCCTTCCACACAACATGCTTTGTTATTCTCACCAAAGCATTTATTGTTATTCGAAATGATAACCTTTGTGTGTTTCCTGGGTTACTATCTGTGCCCGCATCCAGAGAACTAAACTCCAGGCCGTTGGGACTCCTGCTGGTCTGTCCATCTGTCTCCACCCCTACCCTGTCTGGCACACAGAAGTGTCTCAATAAATCTTTGCTGAACTCTTAATTAACTAGTAACTGTTTGGAGGCCAGGACATAATTTCCTGGAGAATCGGTGTTACAGTGTTATATACACCAGTCCACAAAAGACTATAAAATTTATAACGTAGCTAACACAAAATGATTGATATGATTTTGAACTACTTTTCTTGTTAACAGGGATGAAACACAAGCTCTCTCAGGACATGTGTCTCATGAGTTGAATGTACTAATTTCTAAAAACCCACCTTTCTTGCAGAATGCCTGGGTGGGTCTCCGGCCACCTCTGACACAGGGACTGCCAACCAGCGTCCATGACCAGAGCCTCCTTCACCTAAGGACGTGGGGGGTTCCTAGCTTCTCTTCCTTCTTCCTTCTAGGATGATTTCCTGTAGTTCCATATCTGGTTTGGGCTGATTTAAGCTAGAAGACTGTAGAAATCATATCCACTATAGAGAAATGAACCTCCTCAAACAAAGTTAAAGGAAACTCACCGTCTTTAGGTATCAAAGAAACACTGATTTTCATAAAATAGAATAAGATATAAACCACAACATTAGTTAAGAAAACAATGTATTTGGATTTTAGTACTAAGAAATGGAAACTATTATGGTGTCTGCTCTGGTCACCGTCCCACTCTGTTAATACATAGCATCTCGCCCGTTTCTTTCTTAGAGGAGCAGACACGTCTGTGCTCCGAGGACACAGCCCTACCCTCTGTGGGTTCTGTGAACATCACATGGGCTTCCTCGGCTCCACCGGCTGTGACACGGGGGACAGTCACTGTGTGTAGACTCTCCATCACTGTGGGAAGGGCTCATGGAGTGATGAGGAGAGATCCCTGGTGGCGAGAGACAATCCGGGAAGGACGCTATGGAGGAAGGCGGCTGGCAGGGAGAAGGCGGCTGGATCTGCTTCTAATTCCCGGATTGTTCTTCCAGCTTGGAGCCTAGAGTCCCCAAATCACGCAGCTCCTGGTTAGCTCCCGATGTCCCTCTCCTGTTGCCTTTCCTGTCTCACTGAGTTGAGAGACTGGGACTCCGGATGTGGGTCCAGTCTGGGTCAGGTCCGGCGTAGGATGGTGCTTTGAGTGAGAAGGACGCTCGGTGGTATTTCGCGACGGCTCAGACACGGAACGTATTGTGCGGTTAAATGAAGAGAGTGATTCCAACACTAACGCATGTGCCGTGGCCCCAAGGAATCGGAAGACGGCGTTGAGAAGCAAAGGTCCATGACGTAATGACGTCTCGTTGTCTCATTTCAGCTTTCCTGTCTGACCTCTGCAGCACTGGGGGCCTGGAGGGACCGCCTAGGGACTTGCATGTCGGGAAGTGAAGCCAACCTTCCTTCACTCTTTAGAGCCCCTGAGACCATTCTGGCTTCTGGTCCCCTTCTCCTCACTGTGAGGGAGAGAACTAACTGCCTGCGCCCTGGGCACTTTCAATGGGACCTTGGTAATTTCATGAGTTCTTAACATGAAAGGGGAGAAAGATACTTATATCTGGTGCAACTGTATTAATTGTCAAGAAGTAAAAACATCTTGGGGTGTCTGGGTGGCTCAGTTAGGTAAGCATCTGCCTTTGGCTCAGGTCATGATCCCGAGGTCCTGGAATTGAATCCCACATTGGGCTCCCTGCTCAGTGCAGAGTCTGCTCCCCCCCCTGCCCTCACTCAACTCGAGCGCTCTCTCTCTCTCTCTCAAATAAATAAGAAAATAAAATAAGAACATGACTACATTTAAGTCTTTATAGAAGTGTAAGATAAACATATCGGAAACATTTTAATTATTTATATATTTGATAAAATTGATTTCTATTATCAAAGTTGTTTTCCTTTAAATACTGATCAAAATGATTTTTTTGTCCCTATTGGTGACTCAAATTCCTTGTAAGTTGACTCACTCTGCAGTGAGCCACCACCTGGACCACGTTTGCTTAAACGCCTTTTACATGTGGTGTCCAAGGACACGTTTGTTGCAAAGGACAGCACTAAGTGAATTTCTGTGGCTGCCCTCCATAAGTCAGAGCTTTCTCTGCTGGTGTAGCCCCTCATTCTCTGACTACGAAACATCTACCCCACTCCCAGATCACTCAGAGTTTCGAGGGAACAAAGGCCATTTTGCATTACTGAGATGATGGCACGACCAGGTCAGTATGGTGATTTCCTCTGACTGACTTCAAAGGGGAAAGGCCCTTAGTACCCTCGGACTCTCGTATCCCTGGAGTTGAAATTTTATTTCTCTGTATTATCTTTTCTGGTGGATTTGATTTGCTCACGTTGGGAGCATTTCTGCTACATCCATAAGAGTGATCGGCCCTACTGCGCTTGTCCTGACGCACGTCGGGTTTGAGAGCCCGGCTCTCCAGATTTTCCTTTGCATCCAGCGTCACCATCGGTAACCAGCGTTTCTCACCCAGACTTCTCGCTGCTTCAGTTTGGACGCCTTCTCCTGGCTGTCTTCAGCATACAAGTCCTGTCTTCTTCTGTACCCATGGGAAGTTAGTTCCATTCCAAAGCTTCTAATTTTCACTTCCAAAGTGTCTGTTTCCTTCTATCTTAGAGACACCAGATCTTTTTTGAAATTCTATATTTTGTCATCAATATTATCCTTTTCTCCATCTATTTTCTTCAGCGTACTAACCACGGTAGCTTTTGCGTTTAGCTATAGCTTGCTGGTCTGTAAATCCAATGTCTGGATCACAGCCAACCGGCCTGCCAGACACTCTGTGAACACAGCACTCATCTCAGGTTCTAGTCCTCTTCCCACTACTAACTTTGCCAGGAGCCCTGCACCTGTACTCAGACTTCTGCAGTAAATCACAACTATTCACAGAGCTCTTTTCTGCCGCAGGACTTTGTTCTGAGTCCCATACATGGTGACATCTGAAAGGTCATATCTCCACGAACTAAGGTCTAGATGAACCTTCATGGTCTCCTCTGGGTTTGGCTGGGAGCCAAAAAGGTAGTAACTGGGAATCAAAAGTATTTATCTTCATGACAGAGATGGGTAAAGACCGTTGATTAAAGTGTAAAGTCATGAGCAATTGACCCCATTAATGAAGATGACTTTGCATTAATAAACATGCCCTGAAAATTAACCAAGATTCCATGGTGGGCATGGCTCTGAAAATTGCCCACACCCCAAAGCCATCAGTCCAGGAACCACACTTGTGAAAATAAGCAAGACAAGGACAGCCTAAATGCTGCACATCAGTCAACTGGAGATGGTCCGTGCTGCAGACACAGCCAACCAGGGATGGCCCACTCTGTAGACACAGCCAATGAGAGACAGTCCCTACTGTGGTAGCAGCCAGTCGGCAGAGATCCCTGGGCAGCCCCTCTGAGTTGATCCTGCTTCAGGGACCACATACCCGTAACTGGTCCTCTGGAAACCCCCAGACCCAGCCAGCCTCCCCATCCTGGTGGGGCACTCTTCCTTTCTGCTCTTCAATTCTCCTCATAGTATATATTTTACCTGTGTGCGTTTGAACCCCCCAAGTGCAAACACACAGGTGTACATTTCATGTACTTTCCTGTACTTTCATGAACAAAGGACATTTGTTGAGGAAGAACAAAGTTTTTTTGAAGATGTTTACAGTATGCAATTATTCACTCAACATCAAGGAAATTGTAGAAAGTTATGTATAAACCGCACACGCCAACAGGTAAGTGTAAGGGAAGTACGATTTCCTCAACTAGTGTCAGAGAAAGTGATACAATAACTGTTTGATCAGGAGGAATTCGGACAAAGAAGATTCAACAGTTGCGTGGAAGCTATCGTGTCCTTCCAACTGCCATCCCGCATCTCCCAGCTCAAACAAGGGAACACTTTGCCACCTGCCACAGGGATTTTCTGACTCCAAAGCAACGATGCGGAGAACACTT